TGTACACGAAAAGTCTAATTGAATTAAAAAAAGATTGGACCAGTAGTTTGACACCTGATAATCAAGACTTCACTATTGTGATTGTAAAAAGCCAATTCTAAAACAAACTCTAAATATGTCAATATTCAAATTCGAAGAAAGGCCTAGTATTTGTTAGTATCGTCACGAAAAGTCTGATTAAATTTAAAAAATGACGGGGACTTGTAATAAGAGACCTAATGACCAAGTCTAGACAATTACATTTTACTGGTTAAAATTGGCTTTTAATTAGGTAGACATAATTAAATATTTTATGGGTCTGTACATAACATTTGGTATAGAGATGGAACTATCTGTTGTATTGCTTGTTAATGACTTGTGAGAGTTTGTAAAGTTATGTAATCGTCTAAATATTTACTAGAACTTTGTGTGATCTCGTAAAGGCATTTCATCGTGGAAATGGTTACAAAACTTTTTAATGCTTGTAAATGCTTGTTATACTTGTAATGTATGGAAGTTTGAGTGAAAATAATGTGGTAGACAGGATCATTGTGAACCTAAGTTGTTATACTTGTAATGTATGGATGTTTAACTGAAAATAATGTGGTAGACAGGATCATCGTGAACCTAAGTTATTATACTTGTAATGTATGGATGTTTGACTGAAAATAATGTGGTAGACAGGATCATTGTGAACCTAAGTTGTTATACTTGTAATGTATGGATGTTTAACTGAAAATAATGTGGTAGACAGGATCATTGTGAACCTAAGTTGTTATACTTGTAATGTATGGATGTTTAACTGAAAATAATGTGGTAGACAGGATCATTGTGAACCTAAGTTGTTATACTTGTAATGTATGGAAGTTTGAGTGAAAATAATGTGGTAGACAGGATCATTGTGAACCTAAGTTGTTATACTTGTAATGTATAGATGTTTAACTGAAAATAATGTGGTAGACAGGATCATTGTGAACCTAAGTTATTATTTAATAGTTCTTTCATTTTCTTTGTCGTCAATGCCATTGACTTACTGACAATAATGAAACTATTAATATTTGTCGGCAAAAATTCACAAGGTGGATAAAAGGCATGAAAATGGCATGAAACGTTAGAATTAAAGGCCTTGATTTCCATTAACTCAACATGGCAGAAAATAATTAATTTTGATCTTTGATCAGCGCCATCAGACAAATTTTATGACGATTAATTACTTCTTTAATGACCTGACGAAGAAATAACGCCATTCTTCTGAGATTTTAATGGAAAAATTTATTGAACCTCAGACTAAAGAGTTGTTTTTCATTTTAAATGCAGAACATGCGACTAATTAATGTATAAAACAGACCCGAGGGAGGATTCAGATAATTAATGAATGATTTTCTTTGGCATGGACTCTGCATGTGCTGAAGGCGGGGTTAATGTGTCGATCAAAAAAAAGCGAATTCTTAAAGTGGCATATATCTGAAAAAATAATTTTGTCATTAGGTAATTCTGCATGTTCTGGAGGCAGGGCTTAATATGTCAATCAAAGTAAATGGGACACCCATTTGAATACATTAATATATCTGTGCTAAC